CAAGAAAGGGGTCAGAAAGAGTGTAAGAGCCTCAGGACCAGAACTCCTCCTGCTAGATCATGTACTCTCGACATGAGAGTGACTTTGCATCCATGCAATCTCACTAATATGTGTGCCTCACCAACATAATGACACTAGTTGCATGTCAATATGCATGGAGGAATTTTCACAAGGTCCCACCTCTAGATGAATATCGACTGGTAATCAATGGCTGCTGAGCGGAGGAGACTTGGTTTACTCCAGGAGTCAAGCTCCCTGATGGGTCATCCAGTCCCAAGTGGTCAGCCATAAACCTACATACAAGTGAGTGCCACTAATGTACTCAGTATATTGTATGTGTGCGGTGTACATATGAATGTATGTGATACAACAATATTTATCAAGAAAGAGGTCTTGAAGTCTTGACTCTGAGAGGGAGTGGAGGGGGATGTGAGAGGCATTGTAGTAGGGAGAGATTGGAGTGGTGGTGATGTAAATACAGTACTCATGTACAAAATTGTCAAATATTAAAAATTAACAAAAAGAAACAAATGTTGGTGAGGATGCTAGGGAAGTAGAAATCTTATTCACTTTTGGTGGGATTATAGGTGCAGCCATTATGAAAATCACCATAGAGCTCTCTTAAAAATAACAACTAGAACTTCCACATGACCTAGCTGTACCTCATGGACATATACCCAAAGGACTCTGTATAGTACTACAGAAATACCTGTGCATCCATATATCTTGCTGCTCTATTCAAAGTAACTAGGAAATGAAATTAGCTATTTATCAACTGGTGAATGGATTATTGAAAATGTGGTTTATCTACACAATGAAATTTTGATCAGCATTGAAAAATTAAATTATAACCCCCCCAAATTTTTTATATTTATAATGAATTTGTTACTGTGGGGGGATGCATGTATGGAGGTGGAAATACAACTTTTTGGAGTAATTCTTTCCTTCCACCATGTGGCCTCTGGTGATCAAATTCAGTTTGTCAGGTTTAATGGCAAGCGTCTTTACCAGCTGAACCATGTTGCTGGTTCAGCCTATTGTTTTTCTTGTTGATTTTTATAGATAATTCAAATAAAATACCTGTTGTTAGGGATCATTGCAATGAGTAATGATCAATTATTGTAGTTTAATGATACCAAAACAATTTTGTTCTTATTTCCCTCTTGTTCCTTGGGTCCTTATTAAGAATTTCAATAACCTTTGGCACACTGTCCTAAACAAATAGCTCTCTAGAGGAAAAACCCTGTAACTCCGAGTTTTTTTGAATCTATTGTTTTTGCAGTGTCTCTTGGTCAGTGTCGTCTTGAGGCAT